ATGATGATGATGATGATGCCTACAGACGCGTATATTTTTAAAAGTTTATGTATATATATGTATTACGCATTTCATGTCAGCAGCCCACAGAGGCACGCAGATGTTATAGGTTGTATCTCCTCTATCTCTCTTTATATTACTATTCTTGTTTATGCTTTCTTGCTTTACATACTCGGTACTTTATTGGTACTCACGTCCCTTTTGCCTAGGGACGCTGCGTTTCATGCCTGCAGGTCCCAATTGATAGGTTGACATTCCTCCTAGTAGGCTATCAGCTCAGCGGAGGTGTTGGTGCACTCCACTTGCTTCAGAGTTGCCTATTTGGTCAGTATGCTTTAGATATATACTGATTGACATGGTGGGGCCCTGTCTCGACCTTTATGATTTTATGTACTCTTAGAGGCTTGTAGACATATGTTATGCATATGAAAATCATATGGCCTTATCGGCCTATGTTCAGTGTATGAGTTATCACTTTGGTTTTATAGGCACGTATGTCACATGTATAAGTTTTCATGTCATGTCAGGTCGTCCAATATTTATTATTCCCTTATATTTTATTTCTGTTATCTCATGAAGACCTTTCTAGGCTATTTGCCCATGATATTATGATATGACAGATACATTATGTTGGTACTCGGTTAAGTAAGGTATCGGGTGCCCGTCACTGCCCATTGGTTTGGGTCGTGACAGCCTTATTCTTCATTACAAGGCCTAGACAATTTATGCAATGCTTGTCAACGTGGCAAACATCACAAGTTACCATTTATGGATTCGTGGTCTTTTTTTGAATCTCCTTTTGAATTAATCCATAGTGATATTTGGACTTCTCCAGTTCCTTGATTTACTGGTTTTAGATATTATATTTTTTTTCATGATGATTTCACTAAGTTTTCTTGGATTTTTCCTATAAAGCTGAAATATGAGACTTTCACTATGTTCAAGCAGTTTTATGCATATGCATTAACTCAATTTTCAATAAAAATTACATCTCTCCAATGTGATGGGGCTGCTGAGTTTGTTAAGCTTCAAGAATTTCGTTCCTTTCTTAATAACAACGGTGTTTTTCTTCGCTTTTCATGCCCTCATACTCACCAACAAAATGGTAAAGCCGAACGCATGCATCGTACAATTTTAAATATGGTTCGTTTTTTATTATTTCAGTCCTCTCTTCCATCTCAATTTTGGGTTGAAGCTCTTAACAATGCTGTCCATCTTTTAAATATTATTCCTTCCTCTAAACTTAACTTTAAGACTCCTTATGAAGTTTTTTTGGTAAGCCTGCCACATACCATCACTTACGTATCTTTAGTTGTTCGTGTTATCCTAATTTACGTGATTATTCATTACATAAGTTGAGTCCTAGATCCAAACACTGTATTTTTATTGATTATCGCTCTAATTATGAAGGATATACGTGTTTTGATCCTTCAAGTAATAAAGTATATATCTCTAGACACGTTATTTTTAATGAGCACTCTTTTCCTTATCCTCATCTTCTCTCATTATCCTCACCTGGTTCAATAAGTCCTAATTTTAAGCTTCCTTCTGCACTAGAGTTTCACTCTTATCCCTCACAATATTTCAAAGCTACATATGCTTTTTCAGTTTCAACTGTGAGCACGTGATTTTTGCCTCATACGAATTACTCCAAAAGAATTCCCAAAATTAGGACTTTTCTTTAATTATGTGCTATTTTTAGGAATTATTGTGCGATTTTCCTGATTGTTTGCATATGTTTGTATGCATGTTTAATTTTATTAATGCATTAAAAATACAAAAAATATAGCATTTGCATTTAAGATTTGATTTTTTATAATTAATTAATAATTAGATGTTTTACAAAAATGAAAATTCACAAAAAATAACATATTTTTGTATTTTGGTCAAATTGTGTGATTTTCTTTTAATATAGTGTTTAATTATTTGTGATAGGTATTATTTAAAGTTAATTAATATTTTTAATCTAATTTAGGTCTTTTATAATTAATTTAGGATTTTTAAGTTTTAATTTTTGCAAGAAAAAGGAAGAAAAGAAAAGAAAAAGAATTAATGAAAGAGAAGGAAGACAAATTTGGGCCAAATTCAATTTAATTCAAGAGGCCCAAATCAAATACACCTGAAAACCCCCCACCCCCAGTCCGGCCCAAATCCGTTCCAACCCGGCCCATCACCAGACTAAACCAAACGACGTCGTTTGGACATGCTTTAATCTGGGCTGTTGAATTAATTTGATCGAACGGTCTAGAGCTTCACCCACAACCTGACCCATTCCCACACCCGGACCGCTCCAGTTGAAACCAAAACGACCCCG